CGTGATCCCCCCACCTTGGCCTCCCAAAGTGCTGGGATTACAGGTGTGAGCCACCGCATCCAGCCTTTTTTTTTTTTTAATTGAGATGGAGTTTCACTCTTGTTTTCCAGGCTGCAGTGCAATGGCGTGATCTTGGCTCACCACAACCTCCGCCTCCTAGGTTCAAGTGATTCACCTGCCTCAGCCTCCTGAGTAGCTGGGATTACAGTTGCGCGCCACCATGTCCAGCTAATTTTTTTGTATTTTTAGTAGAGATGGGGTTTCACCATGCTGGTCAGCTTAGTCTCCAACTCCTGACCACAGGTGATCCACCTACCTCAGCCTCCCAAAGTGCTGGGGTTACAGGTGTAAGCCACCCTGTATTGAAGCACTCGACCCAGTGATTTCATTTTAAACTTATCTTTTGTACAAAAAAAGTGTACAGACTGTCACAATCTGTCACTTGTAAGTGACAGATGCCTCCTAAAGCGACATAACATGGAGAAGGCTTAGCTTGATGTTTATTTTCAGTGTGGCTTATAAATGACTGCAATGATGCGTCCATGTCCACACATGTGTTCATGTGTGCCAGGCACTGTGCCAGGTACTTTGCTAACAGTGTTGAGTCCTCACAGGGTGGGCGCTGTGACCTCATTTCACACGGAAGGAAAATGAAGCGTAGTGGGGCAAAAGGAGCAGGTTCATAGAGTGGCACCCAGGCGCGAGGTGCTTGAGCAGCTTTGTGGTTTCATCATTTTAGTGGACGAGGGAGATTGTCTTGCTCACCACCGCCTTGCAGGAGCTAGTGACTGGAATGAGGCAGGTGCCCAGTAGATGGTCACTAAGTGGATGAATGTACAGTACAGAGAAAAAACACAGAGGCTGCCTTTCTCGATCTTCAAATGGAAAGCTCATTTCTTCTGTTGGGAATGTGCTACCTTTTGGCAAGCGGAGGGTAAACGAATAATTAATGCAGTGAATAAAATCATGACATTTTCCCCATGCAGAGAGTTTCCTCTCCTTGGGTGCCCTTCCTCCAAGGCTTGCACTATTTATATTTGAAGAGTGACCTGGAAAGTGTTACACAACAGCAGTGATAATGGAAAAAACACCTAAGTCGCTGCTTTAAAAGGCAGTTCTGGGCCGGGCGTGGTGGCTCATGCCTGTAATCCCAGCACTTTGGGAGACCGAGGCAGGCGGATCACGAGGTCAGGAGATTGAGACCATCCTGACTAACACAATGAAACCCCGTCTCTACTAAAAATACAAAAAATTAGCCGGGCATGGTGGCGGCACCTGTAGCCCCAGCTACTCGGGAGGCTGAGGCAGGAGAATGGCATGAACCTGGGAGGTGGAGCTTGCAGTGAGCTGAGATTGCACCACTGCACTCCAGCCTGGGCAACAGAGAGAGTCTCCGACTCAAAAAAAAAAAAAAAAAAAAAAATAAATAAATAAATAAATAAATAAAAAAGGCACTTCTTTTTACTGAGTGGATTTGTGCTGTTGCTCTGGACCTTCTGGTTGCTGGACGGGAATGTGTTGTAGACACACCACCACCAGAGGATCCCGTTCTTCCCCCAGAGGTTGAATGGGAAGTACAGTCTGAAACTATCCATAGCTGCTGCTTTCCAGTTTGAATTTTGTATTTGGAGAAAAGTGTGGATTTGCTCAGTGATGTGTTTTTCATGCACAATTTCTGTCAATTCTAGTGGGAGCTGGAAGTCTCTGAGCGACCCATCCATCTGGATTAGACTAAGGCTGCCAGTTAGTCTTTCTGTGGTAGCTGAAGTTTGGGAGTGAAACGCATGTGAATAAAGGACACTTCCTGGTTTTGGGGGTGTCACAAAGATCCAAGACATTGGCCTTACCTGACTAGTGGATCTTTCTAAGACCAAATCAAATCTCTATGAATTTAAACCTCAAGATAAAGTGAAGACCTTAGGTAACACATGATTTCCTCTAACAATTAGTCTGGCCCATCAAGCAGAATTGAGAGAAATACACACAGCCAGTGTATCCTTTAGCAAGACTCTTTTAATGACTTAAAAAGAACTTCTACCTTTTACAAATAATTGTATTCAGAGACAGACTTTCAATCTAAAGAAAAGAGCAAGGACCTAGCTCTCGTGGCAGAATGTAGAAACAGAAGCCTCCAGAGTGATCCCTGCAGATTCTAACGTGGCCCACCTTGTCCTCATATTCGGCCTGATCCTAAAGCTCTTACAACTAAGCCATTACCTGCTTGGATTCTTCCTGACAACTGGCAAAGATGTCACATTCCACTTCTTATCTCACCACCTCTTAACCACAAATTGGCCCCAGGGGCTTTCAAAAGGGAAAAAAAAATTGTACAAGTTTGAGACTGTTTCTGTACTCATGACTCATAAAACCAACTCTGAGATCTCTGGAACTCTTAGCTGGCCCTGGGGCATGCGAACCGCCTGTGCATCCCTTTGTCCACCTGGAGGCCGGTGAAGACCTTCAGTGGAAGGAAGAGTGCGTCAGATCAGACATGTCCATTTCATCAGTCAGCCGTCGGTGACAGGCTGAATTCAGAGACCCAGGCCAGAGTGTGCCAGCTAAAAAATTTATCCAAGGATTCCAATTATGCTTAAAAAAAAAATCCGACCAGAAGAAGTAAAAAAAAATGTTTATATGTTAAGTAAGAAATGTTAACAGAGTAGCTCTAATTTGCTAATATAAAATAGCTCTGCCTCTATTCAAAACAGTTGATTTTAAAAGTAAGTATATAGTCGCTCTATTTATTATTGTTTTAGATGGCTTTAAAAAGCATATGCGTCCCTATCTCTTTGGCAAGCACCCAGCGGTGAGGCACGCCCTGTACCCGCCGCAGCCGGCCTGGGAGGCTCCTCCGTGCACTTCTCCAAACCCTCCGTGCGGGCCGCACACGGGTGGTCGTCCCGGGTCGTCTCCCATAAGCTTCCAGCCACCCTGCTTGCCGGTGGCTAAGAGCAACCAGAGATGCCCGTGTCAGGCGAGTCTCCGTGCAAAGGCGGCGCCGATGCTCGCGCTTGGTTGCTCGGTGCGCGCTCTTCAGAGGTCGCCGACGGAGCCCTCCAGACCGCTCCAGCCTGGGCGCCTCGGGACGCGGGCCGGGAGACCTCCCGGGGCAGGACCGGCCTCAGGGGCCAGCGGGCGCGTCGTTGGGGCCCAGCAGGAGCTTGGCGCCCGGTTTGTCGATGCTGGAGTTGATGCTGTCTGCGTCCTTCTCCGGCTCGGGGACGCAGGTGCAGCCCACGGGGATGGTGACGTAGGCCTCGGTGTAGACGGACCGGCCGCCGGCGCAGGCGGGGGTGCGGCGCAGCACCACGGTGGGCATGTAGACCGGGGCGCTGCGGAAGCGCACGTCCTCCTCGCCGAACAGCCCGGTCAGGCAGCCCCGGCACAGGCAGTAGGCTTCGGGCAGGTACCTGGGGTACCTCGCCGGGTCGTAGGAGATTCTGCAGGGAGAGAGCACGGGTGAGGTCACGCCTGGGGGCAGCCCCGCGCCGCGCACGGAGATCCCTGGTTGGAGGCACCGGGGAGGGCCTCGGGACGGTCCTGCCCCCGGCCTGCGGGCGCGTGCATGCGAGGCCGGCCGACAACGGATCTGCCCAGCGCTTCTTTACATTTGAAATGACGGCGCATCTAACCGGCCCTGAGCCAGGCCGGAAAACTGCTTCCAGAGACTGGGCTAATGTGCGCAGAAAAATAAAACCCAGGCGGCCTGCACGGGCCCACAGGTGCCACCAGAACAGAATGAGGCGCCCTGTCTGCCCAGGGCCCCGGAGCCGCTGCCTCCCGCCGGCTCTGCAGACCCCGAGGGGCGCGTCCACCTGGGGCCTAGGCTGGGGGCAGGTAGGGCGGGTTTCAAGGACAGGCTTGGGGCAGGCCTAGAAAAAGAGGGGCTGGGGGAGGACAGTGCTGACTGGCCGGGAGCCAGAGGCCTGCAGGGCTCTCACGCGAGTGAAGGACAAGCGCTTTCTCCATCAGGGAGATTTGGTGCCGAGTGCCAGCTCTCAGTGGTCTGTGAAGGTCGGGGGCTCAGGAAGGCATAGGATTCTCTTCTTCCGTTTGTGTCTGAGGGACTAGAGCACGCCCGGGAGGTGACGAGTCTGGGAGTGGTGTGTTCTCGTCACTGGAAGTGGATCCAGTGCCACCTTCGTGCCAGGAACTAAGGAGGGAGTCTGCGGCGGGGGAAAGGGGAGTGGACTGGTGTAGGAAGAGCCCAAGGCCACCCGCCAGGCTGCCATCAGAGGAAGTCGGTGACACAGGACTGCACCCAGCCACCTCTTGTGCTTGTGGAACCCCAGAGGGACATTTCCAAGCACTAGGCCACTGTTTGAATGTGGGGGATGAGGTCGGACAGAAAGTCAGCAATGAGTCCAAGGCTTCCAGTCAGGGTGACCAGAGGATGGGGCAGCACAAGGATCAGGAGCTTGGCCAGGTGGCCTTGCTGGCAGTGGAGCCCCAGAGGTGGGAGCCCAGGTGAAGGCATTGGAGAGGGCAGTGGGGACCGCCTGCAAAATGCACAAGTTGTCTCTGAAGCAAAAACACAAAACACAATCTGACTTCATTTATTCATGCTTCCCTCCAACATACACCCAAATAGTTGCAGAATGTTTTTCACAGGTCTCATACCACTGCACTCCAGCCTGGGTCAGAGTGAGACCTGTCACCCAGGCTGGAGTGCAGTGGCATAATCATGGCTTACTGCAGCCTTGACCTCCCTGGCTCAAGTGATCCTCCCACCTCAGCCTCCCAAGTAGCTGCGACTACAGGCGCACACCACCATGTCCAGCTAATTTTTTTTTTCTAGTTTTTGTAGAGAGGGAGCCTCACTGTGTTCCCCAGGCTGGAAGAAATTCTTTTTCAGCTCCTCATGGCTGCTGTTTCTTCAGTTCTGTAGCTGGAGGCCTCTAAGGCACAACAGCGTGACCCACACCAGGATGGATGAAGCCATCCTCTCCTTCTGGCATCCCACATTCCAGGCACCTCAAAGTGGAAGGCCCCTTACAGGCCCCACAGTCAAGATGCCGCCTTCTCCAAGCCACTGTCAACTCCATGAAGTCTTCCTATATTTTAAGGTCCAATTCATTATCTTAAAAGTTTTCAGATGTCCTCAAATTCAACTCCTTCCTTCTCCATGTGTTCATAACCTGTGAACACCACACAATCCTAGTCTGCCCTGCTCAGGAAGGGTAAGGACTGAGTTGTGATTTCTCTTGGTGCCCTGATGTGCCTGTCACAGTGCCTTCTAGAGGAGAAGCTCCGGAGCCAGGAAGCAGGCGAAGCTGACCCTGGGCCCTACCAGTTTCCTATTCTTTTTTTTGTTTTGTTTTTTGAGACGGAGTTTCGCTCTTGTTGCCCAGGCTGGAGTGCAATGGCGTGATCTCGGCTCACCACAACCTCCGCCTCCCAGGTTCAAGCGATTCTCCTGCCTCGGCCTCCCAAGCAGCTGAGATTATAGGCATGTGCCATCATGCCCGGCTAATTTTGTATTTTTAGTACAGATGGGGTTTCTCCAAGCTGGTCAGGCTGGTCTTGAACTCCCGACCTCAGTTGATCCGCCCACCTCGGCCTCCCAAAGTGCTGAGATTATAGGCATGAGCCACCACATCCGGCCAAGCTTCCTGTTCTTACACCCTGAGGTCGGTATAAGACCCTGACTTAATGTTAGAAGGAAAAGGAAATCCTAAATAGTTAGGATTTGTAATATCTCCAATCACTTTCAGCATTTACCTAACAAGTATCTGAGTGTTCTTTCAGGCAATGGGGCTAGAGATGAAACGTGTACCCAAGGACTCACTCTCTGGAGATAAACATGTAGGTGAACACAGAGTGCGCTCACTCCGCCCATGGCCACCGGTGGCTCCTGGGGGATTTATCCAGGTGAAGAAGGGAGAAGGGCATGGCAGGCAGAGGTCAAAGCACAGGGTCAAGGGACAATCACCACCAGGAAGTACAAGGAGAAAGAGTGCCCCTAAGATGGAATTTTAGAAAGATCCCTCAGACTATGGGGTGGAAGATGGTCTGGAGCCCCAGAGGGAGCTCTTGGCTAAAGGCAGAGTTTTAAGTTGTCCATTGATAGATGGTGGTTAAATAAGATAATCTCGGGGGGCACATGGAGGGAGAACAAATAGAGGCAGAGGAGAGCAGAGTACACCAGCTTCCCAGGGAGAAGGCTGATGGTGAAGACTGGGTGCATCCTCGGTGCATGAAGGGGAGAGGCTTGAGGGGGCTGGGTCAAACCTGAACTTGAACCTGATGGAGCCAAGCTACCAGAAATAGAGAGAAACGACACTATGAGGACGTGACCAACAAAGGACAGAATGTAGGAAACTTGATGTGTCCCGTGTTGTTCCGGGAGAAAAACAAGAGGGAGGGAACCTACACTTGAGAGCCCCGAGTAGAGGAACACAAGCTGGGGGCGTCCTGGCTGGGCCCACACCTGTCATCCTGGCACAGCGACATGAAGCCAGCCGCTTCCACTCCCAGTATCACCACCAGCACAATCAGTTATCAAACACATGCAACCCAGACTCAGGGACATTCCACAAAACCAGTGGCCACTAGAGGTTGGATCCCAGGGCAGAAAGGGGCATTTGTGGACCCCCTAAAGAAGGCCTGCGGGGCAGATAACAGTGTCATGTCTGTTCATTTCCTGATCTTGAGCATTTTGCTGAGTGATGATGCTGACATTTGGGGAACCCAGGTAAACACTATATGGGAACTCGTCCTAATTTCACAACAGTTGTATTAGTTTGAAATGATTTCAAAATGAAGTATTAGAAAATAGAGAAAATCATGTATGGGACAATCACAGAAATTTGTGAACACGAGTATGAGCATGTGTGTGAATGTGACAGGTGTGTGGGTGTGTGGGCAGGTGTGTGTGAGCGTGGGTAGGTGGGTGTGGGCACGTCTGAGTGTGGGAAGCTGTGAGCATGGGCAGGTGTGTGGGCAGGTGTGTGAGCACGGGCATGTGTATGAGCATGGGCTGGTGTGTGTGTGGGTGTGTCAGTGTGGGCAGGTGTGTGTGGGTGTGTGGGGGCAGGTGTGTGGGTGTAGGAAGGTGTGTGTGGGTGTGGGTAGGTGTGTGTGGGTGAGTGGGCATCTGTGAGTGTGGGCAGGTGTTAAGTGTGGGCAGGTGTGTGTGGGCAGGTGTGTGTGAGCATGGGCAGGTGTGTGTGAGCATGGGCATGTGTAAGTGTGTGAGCGTGGGCATCTGTGAGCGTGGGCAGGCATGTGTTAGTGTGGACAGGTGTGTGATCGTGGACAGGTGTGGGTGAGTGTGGGGAGGTGTGCGAGCATGGGCAGGTGTGAGCATGGGCAGTTGTGTGAGTGTGGGCAGGTGTGGGGGACAGATGTGTGAGCGTGGGCGTGTGTGTGAGCATTGGCAGGTGTGTGTGGGTGTTAGCGTGGGCATATGCGTGTGGGTGTGTGAGTGGGCAGGTGTGTGAGCATGGGCATCTGAGAGTGGGCAGGTGTGAGTGTGGGCAGGTGTGTGTGGGTGTGTGAGCGTGGGCGGGTGTGTAAGTATGGGCAGGTGTGCATGAGCATGGGCATGTGTGTAAGCATGGACAGGTGTGTTGTGTACTCACACGCACGTGGCATGCAACAGGCTGGAGCCGTGGTGAGCTATTTCGGAGGTGCACAGGGGCCCGAAGACCACAGCAGTTAGTCTGGATGTGATCTTGCTCCTGGAAACTCATGAAGGGCACTGGGCAGCTGCACACACGTGAGATGTGGGTTTGGAAAGGCTGTCAGAACAGCACAGAGGATGTGCCGCAGGAAAACCAAAGGCGGCCGGGTCAGGCATTTCTCTGTGGACTCAGTCTCTTCACTGGTGGGGTGAGTTTGATCGGAGGGCATTGCCTGGCCCTCTGAGTTCTCGTCACCTGGGAATGGTCTTTCTGTGCCCTCGGTATGTAGGTAACTGCTCATATTTCACCATCGTTTGGGTTCTTCATGAACAACTGTCACTCAGGCGTCACCCCCGGTAGTTTTGTAGGTGATAACTGACAGTCGCTTGGATGCAGTGAGGGTCAGAGTTTCATCCGCCTAAAAATATACAGCACAGCCCTCCAGTGGACTTGGGACTGAAATTGCCGCCACTGCTGGGATGCCTCTGGACTAAGGCCTCTTACAAGACACCTCCCCCGATGGCTGCCTGGGCCGTGGGAGATCAGAGGTATAAACAGGGGTGGGTTTCAGGCTGTTCTCTCACAATGGGAAGGTGCCACTAAGGGGGGTGCCATGCATCTACCATGCCCTGCTGCCCAGGGTGTGGGGGCATGAGGCCTGCAGTCCCAGAAAAGCAGAGAGACAAGGCCTGCACCTTCGGAAGGACCCAGCGGGGGCCTGGGAAAGAGGTCATGAGAGAATCCTGGGGCCCTCGCTGGCACAGACAGAGAGTTGAAGTCCCTCACCCCAGCCTCCTGCCTGGGGTTTGGGGACACCAACAGCTAGGTGTGCTTTTTGGTTAAGGAAAGCTGCCACCAAAAAGAAACAGCAAGAAACTGCAACGGGAGCCTTTTCTCTTACCAAACATGGACAAGCAACCGAGCAGAGTTCTGCCGTGTGCCGCGCCTCCTGTGGGCAGTCATTCTTTTGTCTTCACATTTTCTGCGTGCTGCTCTGCGGAAGCTTGGCACCGGGGCACGCTTGAAACACATCAGGTTTTTCCCTCTGATGGGATCTCTGAAGTGTCCCTGGCCACGTGGGAAGCTTGGCTTGAGAGAGTGACAGGTGGCCCGGCTTAATCCAGGAACAAAGGACAAGTCCTCCAGGGATGATTAGAGGTGATGGAAACCGAGCTGGGAGAGGAATGTGACAGCAGAGACAGAAAAAGAGCTCTGCCCCTGGGACCGGACCTGGTAGGAAACAATTTGAAGCGGCTCCGGAGCTCAGAAAACAATGAACACATTCCGAGGGAGGATCGGGCCACCTGATGTGTCCTCTAACCGATGCCCAAGGAGGATCGCTGGGGCACTGGTTGGCACACGTGCCTTGATGTGGCTCACCCTCCCACCTTGCAGAACATGAAATGGTTTCAGAGCAGCAGGGGCTCAGGATGACTGTTTATCTCACAGCAGTCAAAAGACCCCAGCCCAGGAACAAAGTGGGGGCAATGCCTTCCCCAATCCTGGCTGGAACCCACAAGCACCTAAATGTGTCCGTGGAGACAGCCTGCCTCGGTAGCATGGCTCGCCACATCTGAAGGTCAGTGAGGTCAACCCAGCAGACTCTCTTAAAAAGGGAGGATGGAGTCATGAAGAGTCTGGGACCTAAAACTGTAGCCCAACTTAGTCACTACCAGTAACCTTGGGCAGAGAACTCCACCTTGCCTGATTCTTTGCAAAGTGAAGGAGATGGATTTGATGAGCACTTCCCCCAATTTCCTGACGGTGGGACTGATAATGTGACATTTTCACCAATGTTTTATGCTTAGAAAAGACACTGGCAATACATTGAGTCTCTAAGGTCTTGGAAAATTCCAATTAATCTATAAAGTCAGTGCAATTCTAACCAAATCCCAGAAAGATTGCTCTGAGAACTTGGCAAGCTGATCCTAAAATTCATAGAGAGAGATGAAAAGGGCCAAGAATACTCAAGACAATTTTGAAAAAGAATGAGGGGGCAGACTCACACCAGAAGATCTCAAGACGTTATACAACCATGGTAATACCAAGACATCCGCTGTCCTTTGGGGACACTGAGGGACATGTATCATCCCTCGCCAAGAGCTGAGAGTCCTCTGAAAAACACTAACCTTTGCAAGAGATAAGGCGGCGGCACAAACAAGATTTCTAAAACGTGGTTTTCAGACCACCTGCATGAAGCCTATATTGGACTCTTGTTAAAAATGTAGGTTCTGGCAAGGTGCGGTGGCTCATGCCTGTAATCGCAGCACTTTGGGAGGCCTCTTGAGCTCAGGAGTTCAAGACCAGCCTGGGCAATGGTGAGACTCCATCTCTACAAAAAATATTTAAAAGAATACAAATGAGCCAGGCATGGTCGTGCACGCCTGTAGTCCTAGCTCCTTAGGCTGAGGTGGGAGGATTGCTTGAGCCTGGGAGGTCGAGGCCGCAGTGATCCATGATCACGCCACTGCACTCCAGTCTGAGTGACAGAGTGTAACTCTGTCTCAAAAAAAAAACAAAAAACAAAAAAAGATGTATAGATATATCTATATCTCCAAAACTTTTAAGTTAAAAAAAAATTTAATGCAAATTCTCAGACTTAACACTACACCCAAGGAGTCGGAAGCTCTCCACACTAACAAGCTGTCCAAGTGATCTGTTTCACTCATTTAAGCTGGGGAGTCACTGGTTCAAATGAATCAGCAGAAACCCATTTCTGGCTGCACAGTCAACTACGTAAGCGCTATCCCTAGAGGCGAGCTGGCCATTGGCTAACCTCGGATCTATCGATTTGCAGCTGATGGCAAACAACTGGATGATGGCATTTTCCCAAGTGGGTGTGAATTTCAAGACCATACCGTCCCAGGACTTTTTCTACATTTCCTCCAATGAGTACATAAGGTCATTATTAACCCAGTAAGCAATCGGTGTTGCCAATGGGATGGCTTCCCTGGAGGCACACAAATGAGCTTATAAAAAATAGTAATCAGTGTCCCCCCCGGCCCCCAGAGATTCTGAATCAGTTGCTCTAGAGTGGAGCCCCAGTTGGTATTTTTTAAAAGCTCCCCAGATAACTCTAATAGACAGCCCTGGTATAGGCCAATTGGTCTCTGTGTTTAAGAGAAGTAATGACTCACGAAGACAGGTTTGTGTTAGCCTTCCAATCTCTCATTTTCCCTTTGGAACAGGCCCAGCAGCTGGGAGGGGGAACGGTTTTGAGACCACAGGGGAAGGAAGGGGCAGGACCGCCACGTTGGAAGCACTGTGTGCAGCCAGGCCGGCTGTGGGGCCAGGGCTGGGTATAGTAGGGCTCTGTTGGCCGGCCAGGGAGTAACTGGAGACCACAAACAGCTTCCCTGTTGCCAAGCTGTGGCCAGCAGACCCATCAGCTCCACCCTCCTTCCATGCGCTAAGGCCCCAGGGAGCCAAGGATCTTCGATATGTGCTGCCAAGAAGCTCTGAAAAATGCTTTTCTGGCCCCTACAAGAAAACATCAGTCGTGCATTTCTCATGAAAGAGGACATGGAAAAATCAGCCTGGGATAGCAATGAGGTCTGCCCAGGGCACTCATCCCCACTGGCTTCCCCAGGCCAAGGAGAACTAGCGGTCAGTCCTGCCCTATCTGGGGACTGAGGTTGACTTTGGTGCGATCCTGAACTTAACATCAATGTCAGGGCTCCAGAATGAACCCTGCTCCCCTGCCAACTGACCGGCTCTGGGCTACTAGGAGCAAGAAGGCTTAGCCTGCCCACCCTCTCCTGTCACTCATGAGGAAACTGAGGCACCAACAGAGTAGCGGACTTCTCCAAAGTCTTCCAGCTCTCCTGGGTTAGTCCAGCCGCCTGCACTGCCCCACAGAGCCAAGCTGCCTAAGCCTCATAGTAATAACAGACGCGGTGCTGTGGTTTGTGGCTATTTAGCAACCAGCCAGGTGCTTGGTAAATGGTGAAGCTACAACCAGGAAATCCATTTATTCTGGGGAAAGTTGTTCATCATCTGGGAGGTAGCGGAGGAGGAGAGAAAGACTAATGCTTTGGAAAATAATTTGGAAGATAATTCAGAAAAAAAAGTTTTACAGAGGGAAAGGGAGAAAAAGAAATGAGAATGAGAACCCACATTTCTTGAAGGGTTTTATTCTTTTGTCATGGCAAATGCCACACATTCATTGCAGCTGGGAAACATCTCTTCAAAGGGAAAACACGACTCATGCCCACGGGCTGGCTCAGCTATCCGCCGGGGGAAGCTGCAGAATCTGGGTTCAGAGCCATCTTTGAAGTGTCTGTCCTTGGGGCAGGCGCCTGTGTGCACCAAGGTGGGAGCCCACCCGACCGCCAGTGAGTCAGTTGTGGTCACAACACTGGTTATGAGGAATAATCGCTATCACAACATGAGTCTGGACTCTAATTCTGGAAGAGTTTCTGGCAGATTCTTTTCTCTTTGGCCTGTTATTAATTTAGTGAGCAGTGCGCTCACTGCCAGTTTTTCATGTGTCACTTCTGGAAGACAGACAGCATAAAGAACTTCACTTCATGGCATGTGCGGAACTTCCTGAGTTTGCCCAAATCATTCTGTTGGCATTAGGGCACACGCATTTTATTCAGGTGAGGAGCATTGCCAGAGGCGCTGATGGAATGAAATATTATCATCATCCCTGGTTACTCTAAGAATGCTATAGTAATACCCAGGCAGTAAGGGGAAAATAACTATCAAAGCAAAACGAACATACCTATTTTCAGAACGAGAGACTTTAATCCCATGACAATGCTCCTGACAATGCTTTTATTTTTACCCTGTGAAACCGTGATAGGTGCAGTAGAGCCTGCTGTATTTTAAGAAGCTGGGGCAAGGGGGGAGTAGCGGGGTCTGTGCTGTGCCTTGGCTAATTCAAGGTCATTTATGCACACAAACATTTTAGGGGGAAAATACCAATATTTCTTAAATAAGTTGCTTTAAGCAACGAATGTCTCTTTTTCTCCAAGAATGAATGAGGATGAACAATGCCCCGCCGGCCGTCTCACAGGATGTGACTGAGACTTTCCCAGCCAGGCAGCAGAGCCCCCTCTCCTTCACTCTTCCTGTCCATTTCTCACGCCCCCGTTTTCTCAACAAAGCGTTATCATTAGAGGACGGCGGCGAAAGGACGCTGCACCTGCGCTCATGTACTGTGTGCAGATATCCCTGAAGGCGAGGCTTGGTTTGCTTCAAGACCTTAGCAAATAACCCCCAGTTTGGAAGCAGGGACCCAAGGAAAAACGTTACAAAAAAGAGGGAGGGAAGGAGGGAGGAAGGAAGGAAGTTAGGAAGGAAGGAGAGAAAGAGAAAAGAAAGGTGAGAAAGAAAAGCACCTCCCATCCCCGAATTCCGGAGACCACGCGGTGGGCGGGCCCGGGAGCCGGTGCGCGGGGCGGGGACGCCGGCGCGGTGCTGCCCCCTGTCGGCCACAGACGCCGCTGCAGACAGCTTCGCGGGCCGGTGCCCAGGACCGTGGGGACCCGCCTACCACGGGGGTCTAAGCCTGCGGGGTGGGTTTGTTTTTTTTTTTTTTTAGGGTCGGCACACACATTTGATAGTGCATTAAAGACAGGCGTGCATTTGTTAAAGGGGTAGAGGATAAATGGGAATTTTTGTTTTTGAGAGCTGGTTTTGCTCTGCCACCCAGGCTGGAGTGCAATGGCGCGATTTCAGCTCACCGCAACCCCCGCTTTCGGGGTTCAAGCGGTTCTCCTTCCTCAGCCTCCTGAGTAGCTGGGATTACAGGCACCCGCCACCACGCCTGGCCAATTTTCTATTTTTAGTAGAGAAGAGGTTTCACCTTGTTGGTCAGGCTGGTCTTGAACTCCTGACCTCAGATGATCCACCCGCCTCGACCTCCCAAAGTGCTGGGATTACAGGCATGAGCCATTTTTAAGATTCCCGGCCTGGAATCTTAAAAAGAAGGATAGCTGTAGTGAGGATAGTCTTCCCTAACATTATACTCCTAATCTCTCTAGCTTTCTCTAATGTTATAACCCCTTTGATAAATTTTTTAAAAAAGATTTGATGGAGAGAAAGTGATGCGAACAGTACCTTGTGACTGCAGGAGGAGTGTCAGGGTCTGTGGTTCCTGGCTGTATTCCGGGGGGCCTGCCCACCAGCCCCCAGACAATATTTGATGAATGAACGTGACCCTGGGTTTCAGTATCAGTCAAATGGAATAATTAATGGACAGCCCACTCGGGAAACAGGATGTTTGGGTTAGCTAAACGTAAGCGTTAGAGGAGGGGTAAGTAAAAATATCCTTTTTATAAATCCAGCCTTTCTTGATGACAACATTGCTAAAATACAGCATTGCTAAATACCAGATGATGGACTTCCCAGAGCATGAGGGTCACAGTGAATGGGCCGTTGCTGAACTGCCCACAGGTAACTGGAAGCTGAACTTGGGCACATGTAGGAAGTAGGGGATGTCCTTAGGTACGCTGAGAGCCGCCAGTCTTCACAGCTGTATAGTATTTTATCTGACTAGCTGCCTATCATTCAGGTGACTTCCAGTCCCTGGCTGTTACACATCTGTATCCCAAGGTGGCGCTTTTCAAATGAAATCCCTGAAGGGAATTTATTTTCTTCTGATTTTCCCTCTTCCCAAATGTCATCTGCTGAAAGTTCTGGTAACTTGGGTTCTCCACAGGAAAAGACCGGCTTCCTTCAGCCGGGGTACCTGCACTGGGCTGCTGGGGAGGGTCTCATGGCCTCTTCAAATGCCGCTGGTGACCTGCTGTGTCTATCTGAAAGTCACTTGATCTCCTGTCCCCTGTTCTCCCTACTCTCCTTTACTCTCTGCTATGGTTTGTGTCCCCCCAAGAGTTCATGTGTTAAAAACCCAACTGCCGTGGTAACAGGGTGGGAGGTGGGGCCTTGAAGAGGTGATTGCGTCAGGAGGGCTCTGCCATCCGAGGAGAGGTTCCTGGTAAAAGGATGAGTTCTGCCCTTCCCTCTCTGTCACTTGCTTCCACCTTCTAGCGTGGGAGGACTCTCACCAGATGCCAGCACCACACCCTTGGGCTGTTGGGCTTTCCAGCCTCCGGAGCCATGAGTCAAATACACTTGTACTTTTTTTTCTTTTCTTTTCTTTTTTTGAGACAGTTTCGCTCGTTTCCCAGGCTGGAGTGCAATGGCATGATATCAGCTCACTGCAACCTCCGCCTCCCTGGTTCAAGTGATTCTCCTGCCTCAGCCTCCTGAGTAGCTGGGATTACAGGTGTGTGCCACTATGCTAGGCTACTTTTGTATTTTTAGTAGAGATGGGGTTTCTCCACACTGGTCAGGCTGGTCTTGAACTCCTGACCTCAAGTGATCCACCCACCTCGGCCTCCCAAAGTGCTGGGATTACAGGCATGAGCCACCGTGCCTGGCCAACTTGTACTCTTTACAAATTACCCCATCTGTGGTATCTGTGATGGCAGCAGAAAACAAAAAAAGCAAAGGACACTCCTTGTCCTTTTCTTTACCTCCTGACTACAGCTATCCACAGAGTTGTTTACTGTAAAATAAATTTAGGTGTAGTTTCTTAAATTGTCAGAGGAAAGGAGTTAAAGAAAAAAGTAACAAATAAGGCCTAAAAATAAATTCCTGCACATTATTCATAACCTAGAGAAAAGTTATCTTTAGACGACTACCAAAATTTGGAAAACATAAGCCGTTAAAAAATATTCAGAGTACTTACTGTACTGGTAGGTGTTTATCTCTGGGGTTTCATCAGAAATGAGTGATGTGTATCTTAAACTTCAATAAACCTCAGTGTTCTTACAACACATTTCTTAATATATCAATTTGACTTTTAAAAACTTACTGAGCAATCCAATTGACTTTATTTTTGG